ATGAGACAGCTGCTGGCCATATGAGGCCAACTTCCCCAATTTCACCTTCTTGTGAGGAACCCACCATGTGTGACCTGGAATAGAAAACATGTGGCCAGGTGGGGGAGCTGAAGCGCTCCTGCAATCATAAGTGCAGGTGGGTTGCTACATGCCCAAATTCTTACCATGCAGCTCTGGGGATACTACAGTAGTCATAACTTTGGGGACTGGTCCCAAGACCCTTTGTTCAGCACTGCCATAACTTCAAATACTCACAAAATGAATGGTTGTTAACCAAGGAACACACACAGAGTGAAACCCTGGTCCTTTTTTCTTGGTAACAAATAAAAATAATGATCAAGTACTGTAAAATCATAGACACAAGTCATCTGCAAAACCAAAATAAAATAACCAGTTTGGATAAAACAGGAATTGGATATAAAGATGCCTAGCCTATTTTGGAAGCTGTTGAGTAACTACCTCCTTGGAATTGCCCATTAACAAACAACAAAGAGATTCCCTTCCAAGTAGCTCCAAGGCTCAGTTATGACAAACTGGGGAAGAAATTTCACAATCTTTGAACCCAAACAACATTGCATCTTCCAAATCAACATCAAAATCATCAAATAGGTTTAGCAGTAAATAGGCAGGCTATACAAATCATAGAGTAGGTGTAATATGACTCTTGCATTGCATGCTGGCCAGTAATTTAGTGGTAGCATTCTGTACCAGCTAGAGCTTCCAAACCATCTTCAAAGGTTGCCTACATAAAACACATAATAATTTAGATGCAAGATTATTTAGACTTGTTTTATGTCAACAGGTTTCCTAAGCTGCATGACCGCAACCTATTCAAGCCTTTTAAAACTGAATTGGGGTTGAAAATGAACAGATTATCATTACAACTAAGCATTTATGTAATGTGCTTTTTGCAACAGATGATTCATTGGATTCTGAGTCAATTGAAATCCACAAATAGTTTTCACAAACATATTCTATATGTAGTTTCATAGAATCATGTAAGGATTGAAAGACATCTCAGAGATTAGTGCAAGAAACCACTATAATAGCATTGCTGACAGTTGTTACCAAGCTTCTGTTTAAATACATTCAGCAAAATAGAGTCCATCATACTCATGGTACAATCTGTTCTATTGTTGAACAGCTCTTGTTATTGGGAAATGTTTTCAAGGGCCCAAGTAATTTTTTTATATTTGTCCCTTAATTTCTTGTCCAATTATTTCTTGTCTCGTCTTCTAGAATAATTCTATCCCCATTTTCTACATGATACCCCTTCAATTACTTGAATGTAGATATGGTGTTTCCCTCAATCATCTCTTCTCCAAGCTGAATATACCAGTACCTATAAACCTTCATCCTAGAATTATCTTTCCAAACCTCCTACCTTGGTTAATCTCTTTTTGGTCCTGCTCCAGTTTGTTAATGACCTTCCTAAAACGCAATCCTAGAAATGGATGTAATATTTTGAAATCACTAGTGGCATCTTTTGATCTTTGTTGATGCTGTACTTCACTGGTGCTTCACTTTCTCCTTTCATTTCTCCTTTCCTTTCCTTTCCTTTCCTTTCCTTTTTTCTTCTGTGTCAAACTTGTGATCCATCAAGATATGCAGATCTTTTCTGCATATGCTGCTACCAAATATGATCCCTCATCTGCTGTCTCAATATTTATACTTGATTTTTCTTATCCAAATAATAGGAGTTTTTATTTGTCTCAAAATCTTGATACTGTCCTTCAAGATGCTTCCTGTTTCCTCTATTTTTATGTCTATGCAGAATTCATAAACTTAACATAAATTTATTAATTTGTTAAATAGTGCAAAGCCTAAAATAAAGACCTGTGATACATCTCATCATACCTCTCGAGCCATTAATACTGGATTCAATCCGCACTTATCCACCTAATGATAGAATAGTTAAGCACATATTTCGCGATCTTCTCTACCAAGAATGTAATGGGAAACATTGTTGAATGCTTTGCTAAAGTCAAAATATGCTGTGTCCACAACATTTTTGTGGTCAACTAAACTGGTCACACTATCAAAAAAGAAGATCAGGTTAGTTTGGCATGATTTATTTTTGACTGAATCATGCTGACTCCTGCCAAGCAATGCATTCTTTTCTAAATACTCACCAACTGACTGGTTAAAATCTGTGGCAATGTTTTCCCTAGTAGTAAATCAGGGTAGCAGTAAAAGAGTCTCTAGTTACCTGAGTCTTCTTTTTTCCCATTTTGTGAAGATAGGAACAACATTTACCATACTCCAGTTCCTAACATTAAGCATGATTTCTTAAAGATCACCAAAAGGGCTGCAAGATGACATTCTCGACCTCCCTTAAGACTCTTGCATGTAGCTACTTTGTTCTTGAAGATGTAAACTCATTCATATTAGCCAAGTGTTACCTACCTACTTCTTAACTCTTGGGGTGAAGAGTAAAATATGGTCTCTTGTAACACCTTTTTACAACTAACAAATATTATCACTAGGTATAAGCTTTCATGAGTAGAGCTCACTTTATCAGACACATAGAGTGGCTAGACTAAGGTAGGATTTAAATTGGGGGGGGGATGTCCTGAAGGAAAGAGAATGGGAGAAAAAAATACTTTGGATATGCAGATGCAGGTGAGGCAAATTACAAGTAGCATATCGGTTAATTACTATGTGTTAAAACATATTGTGATGATTGAGATCTGAAATTGCCTAAAACCATTTAATAAACACATCAAAATGTTTTAGGAAATTTCAGATCTCAATCATCACAATATGGTATACAGTTCAACAACTTCTCACTCAATGGTACTATTAAAGTTGCACTAAAGTCCTATGAAATGTCTGCTAAATATATTCTTCCTTTATTTACCTATCCTACATGCTCAATATGAAGGGAAGCTGGATTGGAAGAAGATGGGCATGATTTTAAAATTGGAGGATAATAATTTGTGCTATGCTAATAATACTATTTAATAACTAAAATGCAAAATATCTTCAAGGTCTGGTAATAAAAGTCAATGAGCATAGTGAAAAAATGGGATTAAAATTAAATATAAAAAAAATCAAACTAATGAAAACAATACAGTGCTGAATGACGACTGAAAATGGGTCCTTGTAATTGCAGCTGTCTCAGTGTCCTGCAGGCACATGATTGCACTTCTGACACTTTGGCAACTGGTCTGCAGTTACAATGTTGCAGCATCTTGGAATCATCTGATCGCCATTTGTGACTTTCACTACCAGCTTTGGATAAGCAAAGTCACTGGAGAAGCTGGCAGGAGGTTGCAAGCAGCAATCACGTGGCCATGGGACACTGCAACCAAGCAGGATTCTAAGAACAACAACTGGGACTGCCACAACTGCAGTCACATGATGTTGCATTTTAAAACCGCATCTTACAAACATGTTCCTTAGGGATGGAATTGCTGGTCCTACTTGCCATCTTTAAGCAAGCGTTAGTTCCATCTGCTGCCAAAACTCTTTGGTGACTGTTCCCACCCACCCCATTTTCTATATACGCTTTGGATTCTAAATTCAGTTAAAACTGAAAAAAGCTAATCATAGAGAGGGGTTTTCCCTGGTTCCCTCCCATTTTTCCTTTTCAGAATAGTGTGCATTTATACCTTCAGCATCTGGGTTTTAAGAAGTTCCCAACTTCCCTTCATTCCATTTGTCCTCAGGATTTTGTCCATGGGATCTCCTCTCGTTAATTATTACAACTTTATTAATAGAATTAAAGCATCATGATACTTGAGAGGTTATAAAAGCAGAGCTAGTCACAGCAGTGGTAGCAATGTAGCAAATCATGGCTGATGGTGAAAAAAGAATCAGACCTTGTTAATGCTTGCATGCTAGGCCACCAGGAAATCCCAGTGCTATAGGCTAGACAGGAGATCAAAACACATTCCAGAAGGCAATGGTAGATCACTTCTGTATAACTGACAAGAAAACAATATAGCTCTGTCCACACAAATATAAGTCAGATTTATCTTCAAAGACATATCGCCTTCTTTAACTCATAGATACAGAGTTATTGTTATTTAGAAAGCACCTAGAAACCAAATGTAACTAGTAGAAGTGATGTCATGTAGGACATTCTTACCAGCAAAGTCTGAATTCATTCACTTCCTGGTCTGAGAGATACCACTTTTTTTAGACCATGGAGAGATTAGCACCTGTTGGTTTAACACAGATGTTTGTTGGTTTGTTTATTTAATTAATTAATGTATATGACCGCCCATCTCAATATGTGACTTGGGTGGCTAGCAAAATTAAACATGTTTCTTCTTTGTTTTGTTCTAAGAAAAAAAAAATCAAATATTAATATTGCTTTCAAAAAGTGGGGGGGGAGCTGAAAAAGAGTAGGGCTTGGATTAAATCATACTTTAAGGTTAAGGTTTAAGGTACTTCAAGGTTGAGTCAGCCTTCCATCCTTCCAAGGTCAGTAAAATGAGGCCCCAGATGGTTGGGCCAATATGCAAATAATACTTCTACATTGTAAATTGTTCTGAGAATGCTGTAAAGCACTATGGGATATAAGCATAATCATTATTGCTATTATTTCTTATCTCTGGCATAGGATATTTGATTGATTATTTCCTTCCTTCCTTCCTTCTTTTCTTCCTTCCTTCCTTCTTCCTCAGAATATTTGTTTTAAAGAAATAACATTAGCAAAATACCCAATCAAAACATTTGATTTGGTGAATGAGGATGCTGAATAATTTTAACAATATCAGAATGCAGAGTGAAAAAGATAACTTTATCTCTGTTAACAGAGATAATGTTACTGTTAAAAGTAACAGCGTGTAATAGTAACAGTGTGTATGCATAAACACACACATTTTCAGTACAAAATACAAACTTGCCACTTTGTCAGTCTTATGTGATTCATTGCCATAGATTCAGCTTTAACTTAATGTGCAGGCAAACCACAACTGAAAATAGTATAGAAATGTTGACTAGTTGTACTATGCATTAGTAAAAATTCTAAACTCGATTGCTTTTATCAGGTTTGCTGAAGCCAAATCTTTGGGACAAAAAGTAAATGATGTAAGAAATCAAATCAGTAAGTATGAATATTTCCTTCTCCCTCCCCCCCCCTTGTTTTAGTATCCAAATTATATTGCATATTACACTGACTAAAAATTATACCTGCCACTGGAATTAGTTAAATAGATTTTTTCCCTATTCTATCGATTAGCAATATTTTATCACTTACATTAATTTTCCTGTTTGTTTAATAAGCTTGTTTCTTCAATTTCAGTCCATTCTGTTATTTCTAGCAATACACATCCAATGTATATATATTAGTTTTCTATTTCAGAATTCTACCTCTCAACTCTGATTATGCTAGTTGGACAATAGAAACAGTATGACTTGTTTGTCACATGACTGTATAGAATGCCATAAATCAAATCATATATGACTACTTCCTTGGTAGAATTTATACTGGAAAAACCAGCAAATAGGAATTATACCCATCTGTGCTTGAAGCTAGATATTTACGTTCCTTGTATTTTTGTTTTGAATTCCATCAAGCATTCCTGGCTATTCTAGTATGCTCAACGAAGTCCAGATCATATCAGTATTATTTTATGTTTGCTAGCCAACTCTTAATAATATGATATTCTTTACCACAAAGGCCATCAGAGGACCTTTTGGTGAGCCACTTGACACAATGTGGAATCCATATTACAGTCTTGATGATTTGTAATAGTCATGACAGACAGTGGTTGACTCTATTTTAAAATTCTGCCACAAATATTTTAACATTCTGATTTTCCACTGGAGCAATGATTGTTTCATACCAGAGCTATGGAAAAAAATGTAGCCACTTTCCATGATATACAGTGGTATGCCATGATACCTGAAATGAGGTGATCATAGTTGGATATATTAGTTGTTCTCCCAACTTTGCAAAGGGATCATAGAGTAGAATTCACAAGTGCTAAATCTACAACTAAGTTGCAGTCACCAAAATATATTATTGCAAGATGAATATTTTTTCTACCATTGTACAAGAGAAGAAAAAATGAATTTTGAGTATGTATTGGTACCCTGAATATGTTGCTGTGTATCTGAAAATTTATCTTAATCATTATAATGAGAACTGAAGTTGAGACTTGTCTAAAATCATGTAATAATATAAATGGTAAGTGGTACATGTGGATTACTGTTTTAAATCTAAACTAAAAAGTACTCTCTGAAAGGGGAACTTTTGAAAAGCATGCATTTGTTTCCCAGAAATTAAAAGAAGTTATCATCCACACCTAATCCTAAATGGAAACTGTGGGAAGGGCTAATGAGCAATGTCAGTAGCATAACATACAGTATATTACCAAAGGTCTTACAATCTTGGCAAAAGTTATACCTATAGAGAGGGAATCATTAGATGCAAAGAAAATGAAGACAATATTAATGTTTCAATGATCTATAACCTTTTGTGTATACATACAAGCATTCATTCATTCATTCATTCATTCATTCATTCATTCATTCATTCATTCATTCAGACAAAGCTCAGTCCTTGTAATGTTTGTGATGTTTAGTTCTTCAATGCTTTACAGTTCTAGAATGTCTAATTATGTCAAAGAGCAGCAGTGCTTTTCACCAAGTCCACTAATATCTACTAAATTCTTTATTTTAATCGGGGCAAGAGTACTGGGGAAGGTACTCTTTCCATTCTAACATGTTAGAATGCATTTCATCCATTTTTCATGGCTTGGGATCTCAATCAATTTTACCTATCTCTGCATGCTCATTCCTTAAAATAAATTGACATTCTATTCCCCTTATACTTCCCAGCATAAAAGGAGAATGTGGTTGCTGGCCAAAACGGCACCATTCTGTTTGCTTTTTTGTTTGTGTCTCATCTTTATTATGTTTACAGAGTTCTACGGAGTTTGGGAATAAACATCTAATAATCAGTTGATTTTGCTAAAAACACCAGAATTAGAAGGGCCTAATCTGTGGTTCAGGTGGCATAGTTTTCTATGGTATAATAATGTTAAGATTAATGTGGATTTTAAGAATCTTCAAGAATCGTAGTGCATTTTGAGAATATGGAACAGATATTAAACCCAGAGTGTGCCCCAAAATGCTTTATTGATCTCAACACAAGAAGCATTTATAGAAAAAAAAAGATTGCTGGTAAAGAAAAATGATTAACTTATCTAGAGTTCTTAGAAGAAGGACATGGAAAATATAAGATGAAATTGAGACAGCAACTGGCCCCCCAAGGGATTTAGTTTTTTATAGTTTTCATATGTACAGATAAGAGAAAGATTAAAGGTAGAAAATTGAATATATGGAATGGAGCAGCAGAAGACAGAATTTGAACAATGAACAGGTGAAGTTGAACAATGTAGAAATGATGAACATGTAATTGCAATAAACTTATGTTGAAATTGAAACAGAAATAAAACAAGTGAAAGACTATATGATAAAATGGGCTAAGAACTTTGGACACAAAGTAACATTGAAGGAAAGAAATTATGATGTAACCTTAAAGAATAGATTTAAAAAGTCCTTTATACCATTGTCAAAAATCCTGGAAGCTACTTTATAATTTTTATTTTCTATTTTCTTTCTTACTTATTTTGTATTCTTCCTTAACTTCTTTCTTTTAAATATTTTCATTATTTTAAACTTATTAAAAGTTTCTTTAATAAAAATTATATTAAATAATAAGATATGAAAAAAGTAAAATTCTTCACAGTGCTCAAAATGTAACTTAATATTTTTGGAAATGCACTCTAGACAAAAGCATAAAACTGGACAAATCCAGGCCACATGATCCCCACCCCTAAAATAACTGTTTAAAAATTCATATCTTGTTCTTTAATTTGTTATTAAGTAAGGTATTTCCTTAACTTACTTAGTGTCTCAATATGAACATGAAATTTATTCCATTAATTGGATTAAACCTTCCAGAAGTGGAAAAAAATCAGTCCAAATAATTTTAATTAATTAAATTATTTAATTTCTTTAAGGTAAACATCTGTTCTTGTTATTCTGTGCAAAAAAAAAATCAATTAATGCTTTAATTGAAGCTGAGTGTAAAAGGGAAGATAAATGATTGTTCCAAACTTTCATTTAAAACAAGAATCCTAGAAATAGGGTTACTTAATAAGTCAGTAAGAATGTACACCAATTCATTCTTTATTTAATACATGTTCCTCATTTATATATAATGCCACTACTACCACATAGTACAATTGCATCATTCCATTTGTTATATTAATAGCAACAGTACTGAAGAAGTGCAAATTCATTGACTAGAAACTTGTTGTAGCACTACATAAAACTTAGTCTTTTGTCTACAGATGTCACAATATTTTCAGTTATCATAAATAATTGGGAAACCTTTAAAGGAAAATGGGAACACATTAGTTCTTCTTACATTTCTATCTTAGTTCTTCATTTTTTTTCCCCATCTTCAGTTTTTTAATATGTAGACCCACTCCTTCATCTCCTTAAATTCCCTCTTTTGGTCTGCTTTGCTTTTAGAAACTGATATATTTCAATTTGGTTTGACCGACTACTGATTTAATACTTGTTCTCTTACATATCAGTGAAGGAGACTGATGGAAAGAAATAATAAAGAATGAATCACAGGTATCTTCACCTGCTATTAATATCCTGTTTGGGGCTTGTAGGCCTTTTGTATTATTTTTTCAAAATCCACCTGGTATGCAAAACTTCAGCAGAAATATTTTTTATTAAAAAATGTGGTTAGTAATATTGTCTTTGCTGAATAACTAAAGTAAGCTCAAATGAAAGCATGAGTTAAAATGAAGCAAAGAGACATGGGATCATGAAAATAAGATGCAGCTGTTGTAGTAAGTAAGTAGATGAATGGAAAGAAATATCAAACAAATGGCAGAGAATAAGAATTTTCAAGTTACCTCAAGGGGAGTACAGAAGTGTATATGGAAATGTATTTTGTAGAAATGTCTAGTGGTATTAATAACAGGGATATCTATAGAAAAGAGGGCCCCCAAATTATTATTTGGACTCTTAATTCTGATCATATAGAAATAAATAATGAACTTGTCCATTGTAAGAAATAAAGAGAGATTTTCCCCTTGTTCTCAAATGCATTAAATTGTTTGGAATATTCACTTTAACTAAAGTGTTCATTAGACCTCCCTGTGTCTACAGCTACAGTCACTATTAGATTTAATCTAGCAGAACTCAGTGCAATAATAGTGAAACAAGTTGATGATTTATTTTAGGGGAAATAGAACTCTTATATAATCTTCATATTACTCAGTATACATACATTTAATATCTCAGTTATGATACCTGTCTTTTGGCATGCAATCCCTCCCAAAATCTATGAGGCTCCAATCCTTGACATTCCCAAAGATGTTGGAAACCTAGTTGTTCTCCCAGGCCTGGGTTACACTAGATGGATCCCCTAATTAGGTATTTTTGCACATGTTTTTGTGTCAAATGATTACATCCCAATCTTCTTTGTATTTATTTTTGTTCTTTTCTATATTGTGAGCCAGTTTTTAATTAGATAAAATTAAATCATATCCAGTAAGATATATATAGTGACAAAAATAAACATCAATAAACAAATAGAAATAAACCATCATTCAAAAGAGACATAAAAAATCTCAGAAAGAAACAACAACACAAAAATGCAGAACAGGTCCTCTCCAGCAGGCAACTCCCAGATAAACAGGGATTAACACCAGACAAATAATCAAGCAGAACACAATACACTAATCAAGGAACTACTAGTTAGAAAACCACATCTAGACCAACACTGGCAGGGCAAACTATTGTATATAAACAGAGAGCAAATCCCACACTTACTCTCAGCATACATGTTACCTAGTTGGCCAATGAAATGTCTGCAAGCAAAACCAAACTCAGAGAGTACCAAGGACTCCACAGTTCAACCCTGAAGTACATATATTTTCTTCTATTGAAAAATAAATATAGTTGGTATAATTCAAAAACAAGAGAATCCAAATGCCTTCAAGAATCCTACAAAACACATTTCAAATAATCTTCTTTTGACTCTGGGATTATTACATTATATGTAATGTG